GAATCTCAAAAAAGGCTACGAAGCCTACAACTATGAAGTCGACTTCCAAACAACTATGAAGTTGTCTCTCAAGCGGAATCTCGAAAAGGCCACAAAGCCTACGACTACAAAGTCGACCCACACAACAATGAAGTTGTCTCTCGAGTGGAATCTCGAAAAGGCTACGAAGCCTATGACTACGAAATCGACTTAAATAGCTACGAAGTTAAATTTTTTTGAGTGGACACTCGAACAAGCTACGAAGCTCGCGACTACAAAGTCAACTCTATTATGAAGTCGTCATCAAGCAGAACCCTGAATGAGTTAAAGAAAACTAACAATTTATAAAGTCAACTAGACTAGCAACCATGAAACTCGCGAACCATAGTACAATCAATATCGCATCGACGAGTGGAATCTCGAGCAAAAGCCAACATATCGTTGCCCGTCTTCCACCAGCTCGCAAGCCGGGTTGGGCAAAGACGGGTTTAAAAACTTTTGATTATCAGCTACGAAGCTACTAAAATCGTTGCTCGTCTTCGGCCATCTCGCAAGCCGAGGTGGGAGATGACGAGTTGAAAAACTTAGTTTATCAGCTATGAAGCTGCTAAAACCGTTGCTCGTCTTTGACCAGCTCGTAAGCCGAGGTGGGAGATGACGGGTTGAAAAACTTTTGATTATCAGCTACGAAGCTGCTAAGATCGTTGCTCGTCTTCGACCAGCTCGCAAGCCGGGTTGGGAGAAGACGTAGGAAGACGAGACAAGGAACTTGGAAAAATTCAAAACAATCAAGAGAAAATATCAACGCGCACATGAAGACTACCCCAAGTAAATAAGAGCAACTGGAAGAAAGAGAAGATGCGAAAAGTGGGTAACCATAAAAACAAAAAAATATTGCATTAACTAGGACAAATTACATACTTGGCAATCTCGACCCTTACAAAACGATTCAAGACGAGTCGAGATTAGCAGAAAGCAAAAAAACAAAAAAGAGAAACCATTGGAACTCAGCAAACAACCACTAATTTTTCTAAGAGTCGGCAGTCGACTTCCCAGCAGCATTCTCGCCCTCCTCAACAAGGGGCTCAGTCCTCGCACCCTCCTCGTCGATCAACGGCTCAGTCCCTTCCCACTCCCCACCAGCCAACGGTCCTGTCCCCGGCCCCTCGACCTTTATTTCCTCGTCAACAGGTTCCTCTTCTTCCTCATGATCAGCTCCACTTGGCCCGACTAATTCGGTCTGATCGGCCAAGGGAGTAGGAGGGACCTCGAGTTGGGATGAAATCCCAGCAATGTGGATGGCTTTGGCCTCGAGGCTGACCCACCAAGCATGATCAGGGGGAAAAGACGCATCACCTTCAAAACCGTCGGGGAGGGGAAGTGTCTTCTTCACCTCCTCACGGTCGAGTTTACCCGAGAAGTCAGGCTTGGCAACAGCAGCTTCCCACGCGTCAAAGGTAAAATTGAAGTATTGAAGGGTCGCGAGGCATAGCTTGTCGAGAAAAGTATGGGATGTAATATCCCAACTTTTATCAGTATAATAATATTTCAGTTCCGATATTATTTTTCGGAAGTATTTATTTTCAGTTATTTCAGTCAAAATTACCGGAACTATTTTCGACGTACCGTTTACGTTCGAAATAATTTTGGTAATTAAGCATTATGTTTAATTGGATAATTAGACATAATTAAGTGATTAATTTAACTTAATCACGAGATTAGCAAATTGTTCGGATTTTATTCCGAGTTCATGTTCATAGCCGCGCATTGATCGAGTCCATGTTCAAGTGCCGTGCGAGTGTCTTGGTCCATAGTGCACGCGAGTACCGTGCGCCGCGTGTTCGTCCGGGAGAAGACCATGTGTGCGAGTGTTGCGGACCGAGTTCATGTGTAATTGTCGTGCGGAGTATCCGAGGCTAGTGTATATCCGGAAGACCGTGCACATCCGGACCCAACAAATGCCATGAAGACCGTGCGTGGGTTTTGTCCTTATGCTAGCCGTGAAGTCCGCGCGCCCTTGTCTCCTTGCGAGCCGGCGGAGTGACCAAAGCCCGTGTGAGAATCCGCGCGCCCCCTTGTCTTTATGCTAGGAATGCCGTGCCTCTTGGACTCTTGTGCTAGATTCCTTCACGCCATGTAGTCCGTGCGCCTTTTGTCTTGGCGCCTTGCATGTTCCGAGCATCCTTCTTTCCTTTGCACGTGACCATGCTCCCCTCTTTTCCTCCGCCCAAACATTCGGCATTTAAGGGTGGCATGGGAGGTTGTGGAGCATTTTGACTCCTTTTTCTTCTAAGTGCGAGAGGTTTATATTTCCGTGAGAGTGCATTATATTTTGAGAGTTAGAATATTGTTGGAGTGTGTTCGGGAGCATTACCGCCGAGAGCCATTAGCGAGAGTGCCGCAAGCCACCCGCACGCATCGCACGCATCGCACGCACCGCACGCGGAGTTCTCCACGGCCGAGAGTTGAGAACTAATCCGAAGGCTTGCAAGAGGTAAGTTCCCGTCTATTGTTTGCCGATAATTTCATGTTCATTTAAGATTAAATGTTAAAAAGGTCATGCATGCGTGTTATAGCTATTGCCGTGCGGTCATGTTATATTTTAAATAAATTTATCCGAACCATGTTACGTTTTTCATGGAATTCTCCGAACAATCTTGCATGCTTAGCTTTTATGTGCAATATC